TTCATTTGAACTATTTTTATGTTCATTTGAACTATTTTTATGTTCATTTGAAACATTTCAATGTATATATTATCAAATTAATTGTCCCATAATGATAAAAAAGTAATGTGTTGATTTGAAGCACAGGATATGACATCATGTTAGTAGTTCAAATGAACAATAGTTCAAACGAACAATAGTTCAAACAAACAATAGTTCAAACAAACAATAGTTCAAAACAGGAGGAGTTCAAATAAGAATCCACCTTGAAAAATAGCAGACTTAAACCAAATATTCTCAAATTTTTCATGGTAGTTAAAGATAATACAATCAAAATTTTCGCCAGAACCGAAAAATTCTTTAGTTGGAAAAGTTTCCTGCAGAAATTAATTTTTTTCATTATTTTTTTACTGAATTCAGCATATTAAAAAGATATATAGTTTTAGAATCAAATTATTTCAAATTGTTTTGGGAAAGTTTAAAAATCATTATGTTCTAATGATAAAATAATATAATATTACATAATTATCTGTTCTTAAATCTCCAACCCTAAACAAAACTTTTTTTTTAATTTCTGAACTAAGAATTTAAATTAATTTTAGCTTAACACATTAAAAAAAAATTAGTAATCAGCATTAAGATGAAGAATAGCTAAATAAGTTGCTTTTGAATAGTATCTCATGGAGTGTATGAAACATTTTCAAGTTTGAAATAACCATGCTGCATCTAATATACATACATTGTTTAAGATTGTTTTAACTTTTTCTGCCAAATTTTTATTCCACTGGAAAAATTATTTCTACTATTTCTACTTTAAATTCCAGCAAATGTCTTTTTCACAAACTTAAATATTTAATCCCCTATATCTTTTAAACCTAACTTTGTGAATTCCTTATAAAAATTTAAAATCCTAACCTTTTCCAGTTCAATAAATTGTTGTATGAAGACGGGTCTTATTATAATGCTAATACCATACAGGTGAAAATAATCTTTATCTATCTCGGATATCTTGAAGAACAGCTTTATTTCTGCAATTATTTATCTTCTGCCAATATCATACCAGTTAAGTTATAGCACTGAAGTGAATTGCCTGTTTTCAATAAGATTATCTAGCAACACATTTTTTTCATAAAAATATGAATAGATAAGTTTAAAAGCAATTTATTACTTAAATACATTAGGACTAAGCAAATGTGTCACACATAGAGAATAGAATATATATTAGAGAGGAATTAAAAGAATCTCTCGGTATGAATTTTTTCAGTCCCTTTCAGCCTGAAAGGGAGTTCAAAGTGTACAAATAATGTAAATGTTCACAAATTATATGCAGTAGAGTACATTAATACAGTATGTTCCCTAGACTATTCATTTCAATTTCGAATTTTTTAAACTGTTAAATAAACTTTATAATGAATTAGATGAATAAAAAACCTCATTTGATTTATAGTTATAACGGAAAATCATCNAATATATCGATGATGAACAGTTCACGTCTCCTATCGTGTAGACTGCACCGGTCAGTCAAAATTCTGACAATATGGACTTCATTCTGCTACCTCTTATTCAGGTTAGATCAGGGGGTATCATACAGTGGTTGTCAAAACAAAATGTAATGGAATTTACCACAAAAAATGTTGAAAAATATTATTGTAAGGAATAATGGTTATTTCTAATGAATGAGAAACGAAGAGCAATATATCCAACCTTAGAAAGCAATTTGATAGATAATTCTCCTATGATTGTACAATATTTAGGTTAAACTGTCTTCCACAGGTTGATCATATCGTTAAACCTTCTTCTTGCAGTAAATATTTATTACAATTGTAAAACAATATTTGATATAATTAGCTTTTTTATTTCTATATATATCTATCTATTTCTATATATTTCTATAGTTATATATATGTATATATATATATATATAAATATTTATTGATGACCACTGTAAATATTACCTAAACTATATCAACACAAAATGTGTGAAAAAATCTGAAACAAATTTAAAACTGAACACAACCAAAACTAAAAAGTTCAGGTATCTTTAAAATGTAAAAGTGCGATATTCTTAAATAAACTCAAAACTTAGTTTAATCCATACATTCACAAGCTACAAAGTGCAATACTCTTAAATAAGCTCAGAAAATCAATAAAACCATATATAAATCATAAATGGTACCTTAATGTGCCTTAGGCAAAGTCACAACTCAGTATAAATCGATCAAATACCAATGTTTTACTGACAAGAAATATGCCCACAGTATAGTTCTTGTATAAAGTTTCACATCTAAACTGGCTTCATAGCTGAAGTTCAGACACATTCTCCTCTCTGTCCACATGGGTGTAACATCTTTAGTCCAGGGTACTCAGGGGCGAGGGAGTACAGAACATGATTGAAAAACCACGTAACATTCCCCCTAACCCACCTGATTGAGTGGCAAAGATCAGCTTCATCTCCTTCCCAGCTAGCCAAATTGCGCAAAAAGAGCGCAATTTAAACGTCACTTTTCGCATTTTTACATAAATTTTACGTAGAGATTTTGACTCTTTTTACGTCATGAAAGACATAAAATCGCACACTTAGCTACGCAAATTTATTGGTTTTAGTAGACGTAAAATTTATGTAATAATATTATACAAATTTATGCCGAAAATGCACATTATTTTCTCAATAAATATGTCGGCTCTCTTTTACCAAAAATTATGCTAAATCTGAGCAAATTTGATGCATGCAGATAGGCCATCCATCCCTGCAGTTGGATGGATGGATGCAGTATAAGTATCTCTCTCTAAACTGATTCCATTCATCAATTATCTACAAATCACACGGCTTTCTATTTAACATAACATTATTATATATTGCTGCACTCTGCACAGTGCACACACACTTGGGCCACTCAATTCTCAAATATTTAAAACACTCAAAACATATGGGTAAAAAGAGCGCAATTTTTATGCAATTTTAATGCTAACAAAGACAATTTAAATTCTTTTAAAAAAGTTTATTTTTTCAATTTATTTTGGAAAATGCAATATGTGCAGTATCGGAAATTTTAGATATTTCACAAATAATTTATAGATTTAGAGTTTTAGGCAATTACGCAAATTGAGTGTATTTTTACGCAATTTGTATACCTGAAATAAAATGATACACATCTCCACAAATTCATAATATTTTTACTTAAAGCTGGGTTATGAAATATTTACTTCAGAAAAATTAGATATTTACACTAATTTGAAAGCTAAACTTATGTAAATTTGCATTTTAATTGCGTGATTGGAGCCAAAATTTTATGTGTTTACGTTGCTTACGCAATTTGGATAGCTGGGTTGTTGAACTCCAAGTCTCAATCATGAGAGCTAAAACTCCCATGAGAGCAGTTCAAAAGTTACTGTCTCTAAAAAAACAGAGAAATTATATTTAACCAGGGTTCAAGATCACAAGAATATCTGTTCAATGTTTACCAGAGCAAAATCATGTATATTAGGAGACTCACTAAGAGTTCCCCTTAAAAACTTAACAGGCTCAAAATCACTAAGAAAGCTTACACCACCAGAGTAACCTCAAACCTGAAATCCAACTCTTCTGGGAAGGCAACTGCTCCCGGACCCTCTATAATCTCATCATAGCTCAAGACACCTCCAACAGTCTTACTCTGGATTCTTTCAGACTCCCTGCACACACAAAACCAGGATCAGTGAGAGGTTCATCAGAGCAAGATGCAGACACTGGAGCAACAACAGGTTTCACTTGGTAAGACAGCTTGCTCTTCTTCTTATGATCCCTACCAGGCTTCTTCACCTTAGAGTAAGATCTCTTCTGGCCAGCTCTCCTCCACCAGATAGGCAACTTCGGAACTCCTCTCCATCTGGAACGATCCTGAAATGTCCAATCCTTGGACAGGTTTGTTAGCCATTCAACACAGGCTCTGTAACTCTCAATTTTTTTCTCTTACTAATCCAATAGTCTTGTCTCTTGAGCTAAAGTATTCAACACAGACCTGTTCAAACCTTGCTCTGCCTTGAGCACTCTAGGAGCAGGTACATCAAAGATCCTCTGGTAGGTTAGTCTCAGAAATTTGTACATTGAGTTTTAGAACATCCTAAACTCCCCATCTTGGATCATCCTTGCAAAGAATGCCTTGAAGCTCCCAGGATTTATCCTCGACCACTCCAGGAGACTCCAGCGCTGACTCCTTCCAAAACTTGCACACTGCTTGCTCATCACAGAACAAGGATCCACAGAAGGATCAAACACCAGGATCCCAGCCTCCATTCCAGCAGGCCTAACTTATCCCTTCACATGTATAATATTATATATACATCATTGTAATCTCAATTATCCTTCTCAGGAATATTGTCTAAATCTAAATCTAAATCTAAAAACCCCTTTGAAAAGGGTTCATGAAATCACTCCGCAATGATTTCAGATATAATTGGTTTTGCAACTATCAAGTGAGCATCATAGATTTCTCCAGTTTCATCCATTGTAATCCTTCAATCCAGTCTGAAACCTGGAATACATCCTCAATCTGTATATCATGCTTCTTTCAAACTTCCATTAATATGATACAAAGCATTATCATTGGAACCTGTGATCCATTCTAAGAGTCTGAGTATTGTCATCACACCATTATACACAAACAATCTCAACTGTATTAGGATTACTGAACAAACTCATTCCCATCAATGAATCCTTTACAAAGGTCTTCTCATACTTGATCTCCAAGAGCCCTATTCACCATGAAAGCTAGTTCTGCAAACATCAGTATCGCAGACAGGAAGAGTTTCTTTCATCATCTTTGATTTAGCTGCTAATAAGGCACAAGACCATTCTTCGGGAGGTAGCATACACAGCAGCTCCTCCAGCAAATTCAGTCACATCAGCAAGGCAGTTTGAATTGCACCCTTTGACTGACAGGTTCCCCGACGCTCTTGCACCCTTGTACATGAAGTGATCCGATTGGAACATCAGAAAGCCTATATGCTCATTTTCACAAGAATTTTTGCCCCCCATGACAGGCAACAAATTGCATGCTTTGAAAATCCGAAGACATATGCTAGCCCAGACTGGTAGATCTTTCTACACACTTGAGCCTGAGACTTTCAGGCTGAAACGTTCAGGGTACCCTTCTCTTTCCCATGGCTAGCTTGTATTAAATTTATACTTTACAGTACACTCTACACTCTACACTCTATACTCTACACTCTACACTCTACACTCTACACTCTACACTCTACACTCTACACTCTACACTCTACACTCTACACTCTACACTCTACTCTCTATACTCTGCACTCTAAACTCTTTGCTCTAAACTCTAACCTCTACACTCTATAGTCTACAGTACACTCTACACTCTACACTCTATACTCTATAATTTACAGTACACTCTAAACTCTATACTCTACACTCTACACTCTACTTTCTGTACTCTACACTCTAAACTCTTTGCTCTAAACTCTAACCTCTACACTCTACACTCTGCACTCTATACTCTACAGTACACTCTACACTCTACACTCTAAACTCTACACTCTACACTCTACACTCTACACTCTACACTCTACACTCTACACTCTACACTCTACACTCTACACTCTACACTCTACACTCTACACTCTAAACTATACTCTCTATACTCTACACTCTACACTCTTTGCTCTAAACTCTAACCTCTACACTCAAAACTCTACACTCTACAATCTACAGTTACACTCTACACTCTTCACTCTACACTACACTCTACACTCTATACTCTACAGTCTACACTCTACACTCAACACTTCAAACTCTAACTTCAACTCTATAATTGTTTAGATTCCTTGATGTTGAGATAGGATCTACTAAAGAAATAAAAGAGGTATTTATACTATATACAGAGATAACCAACGAATTCTGAAAAGGAAGACGACTTTTAGAATCAAATTATAACCTTATAAAGTATAATGAGCATGAGACACAGAAGTTATGCAAGTGAAAATACCTGTAAAAGCTTTTTTTTCTTTTCTTTATTCAAAACTGTGAAATGAACTAAGTTAAGATATAGTGTAAAAGATAAAACTAGACGGAAATTAATGAATCCACATAATGAATGAAAATTGTATTTACAATATATAAAATATATAAATATGTTGTATCGAACTTTTAAGTATAGATTGAAGGTGTAATCAAATCTTCAGCCTAACCTCAACCTCGGATGGAAGATGAACTGCTTTCCTTTGCTGATCCTCCGTTGATATTGATGAACTATTCGGTTTATTCAGACCACTTCCTCTCATCCAGCTGCATGTTTTGATTTGAAATTGGCTTGGTTTTAACATGCAGCTAGAGCAATTTATTTGGCTTAACTTTTACCCGGCTGAAACATTTCTCCCAATTAGAACATGAGGCAGTGTGAGTCTTCATGCTCTTAGAGTTCTTAGAAAACATTATTGTTAGCAGTTCCACCTAATACTAAAGTAATAATACAGGAGTAGATAGTTTTAAACTTGTTTCAACAGAATTACGACTTCTGTTTGAAAATAAATATCCCAATATCCGCATAATAATTTTAGATTTTCTATAAAATGATATTCCAGGGCCCAGCAGGTTATATAGCATAAATATGTGAAGTACACCTGCAGTATGGAAACAGTACAACAAAATGGCCGTTTTACACTTTTTTCTAGTAAATTCCTCTCTATATATTCTTTTCTCTAAAAATTCTCTAAAAACTACGGATTCAATCAGAGAAACATCATAGGTGTGTGTGTGTGTCGAAAAATGTGAAAAAAGGGGGATATGTTTGATAAAATTAGTAAGCAGTCAGGTCTATCATATCCTTTTAAACTGAATCAATTTTAGACACACAGCTCATTATTTTAATTTTTCAAATTTTTCAACACACACACCTGTGATGTTTCTCTGATTGAATTCATAGTCAGCTCTATCATATCCTTTTAAACTGAATTAATTTTAGACACACAGCTCATTATTTTAATTTTTAATTTTTAGGAGATGTATTTCTAGATCTCTGTTATAGATTATGTAAATTTCTAGATCTAGACCTAAGTTATAGATTTCTAGATATAGGTCATAGATTATGTAGATTTCTAGATCTAGACCTAGGATATATATTTCTAGATATAGGCCATAGATTAAGTAGATTTCTAAATCTAGGCCTAATATATAGATTTCTAGATTTCTGTTGTAGATTATGTAGATTTCAAGATCTAGACCAAGGATATAGATTTCTAGATATAAGTCATAGATTAGGTACATTCTAGATCTATGTCATAGAGTATGTATAATTCTAGATGTAGGCCATAGATTATGTAGATTTCTAGATCTTGACTCTAAGATATATATTTCTAGATCTAGACCTAGGATATATATTTCTAGATATATGCCATTGATTATGTGGATTTTTTAGATCTAGATCCAGTATATATTTCTATATAAAGGCCATAGATTATGTAGATTTCTAGATCAAGACCTTGGACATAGATTTCTAGGTCTATGCCATAAATTATGTAGATTTTAAGATCCATGTCATAGATTATGTAGATTTCTAGATCCAGTCGTAGATTATGTAGATTTTTAGATCCATGTTAAGATTATGTAGATTTCTAGATAATATAGATAAAATTTTCTTTTTAAAAATTATTTTCCAAATTTTCTTATTTTATTTAAGATAATTTGCTGGCAGTGTGTCAATTGAAGAACAGTAGTGTAGACGATACCAGCCAAATTAGCCAGTCTTAAACCCCCCACAGTTTCGGCCAAATCGCCAACTAGACAATATATCGATGATGAACAGTTCACGTCTCCTATCGTGTAGACTGCACCGGTCAGTCAAAATTCTGACAATATGGACTTCATTCTGCTACCTCTTATTCAGGTTAGATCAGGGGGTATCATACAGTGGTTGTCAAAACAAAATGTAATGGAATTTACCACAAAAAATGTTGAAAAATATTATTGTAAGGAATAATGGTTATTTCTAATGAATGAGAAACGAAGAGCAATATATCCAACCTTAGAAAGCAATTTGATAGATAATTCTCCTATGATTGTACAATATTTAGGTTAAACTGTCTTCCACAGGTTGATCATATCGTTAAACCTTCTTCTTGCAGTAAATATTTATTACAATTGTAAAACAATATTTGATATAACGTTATTATCTACAAATTAATAAACTTTAATCTCATCAATAATGGCAGAGAAGCGATAACTTTTGATAATTTATCAATCTTCAAAATTGTCAAAAGTTTTCCTGGCAAATAAAAGCAGTAACTAATTACTAATATTGTCAATTTGATTAGAAAATTAAGTAAAAATTGCTTTAGTTAAAAAAGGGTAAACATAAGTTTATAATAACATTCAAATATACATGTACTAGAGACGTCTATATTTAAGGAATAAGATGAAGGGGAAGTCACAGTGTGTATAGTGTGTAGGCTGGGGGGTGGGAGGCTAATAGAGAGATAGATTGATCGCTAATCTAGATAGATAGATAGATATATTATTAGTCCACAAATATATCTATCTATCTTAACTATCTATAATCTATCAATCTTGCATTTAAACATACATATTTCTAAACATGATCTATACAATAATTATTAAATATCTATTAGTGAAGAAAGGCTGCAATTTATACATGGTTACAATTATAAATAATGGATATCATAGAATTTAATCAGGGATATTTTCACACTGGATTAATGACGATTGTTGACTGTTTCGAGGGTTGAAGATTGATGATTAATGCTAATCAGCTAAATCATAGAAAATTTTTAGATATTATCCATAAAGAGCATTTCATGACTTTAAAAATTCGCAATTGTTACAAATCATGCAGATCTCATCATGTAGAAATTTTCTGAACAAATTGAGCAGCGTGCATACACCTTGAAGAAATGAATTAAACTGGCAAAGATTTGACAAATGAGCGCGCTTTTCAGTGGGCCCTTGTTTTTTATCATCCGTTTTGATTTCATATCGGAAGAAACTGTTTTTTCATCCCCAAAGCTCTTCAGACGGACTGATAAATTTGTTTTGATCCGACAATGGAGTCAAACTCCGACAGCAAATAATTGCGGATTAAAAAAGACGGCTTTTAATCATCTGATGCCGGAGCTCCACAAAAAGACATTTGCAGATGAAAAAAAGAGTTCCGATCACAGTAGAAAAAAAGATAACGGTGGAAAAAAAGAATAATTTTCCAGCTGGGCCCACTACGCACCCAATCTTAAGAAATGAAATGCAAGAATATCTAGATTAATTGATTCTTGTAAATATCAATTGTAAAATATATGAGATATCATGGGAAGAAAGAGTTGCAAAATCAGAACACTTGGTGTCTCTGCTCGTCTTTTAGAAACTAAAAGTTTATTGCAGTAAAATGAAATATTTTAACTGACATAAATTTTTCAGATAATAACAAGCAATGGGCCAAGTGGTGCCCTCCCTCATGGGGGGCATGCATAGCGGGGCCCCTTGTACACCCCTGGTCATAAATTTAATACATTATTCGAAAAAGTAAGAAATTGGTTGGATTCACAACAAGCTCCTTGGTTAGATTCACATCAGGCTCCTTAGTTAGATTTACATCAGGCTTCTTAGTTAGATTCACTTCAGGCTCCTCAGTTGGATTCACATCAGGCTCCTTGGTTGGATTCTCAACAGGTTCCTTGGATGGATCCACATAAGGTTCCTTGGTTGGATTCACATCAGGCTCCCTGGTTGGATTCACATTAGGTTTCAAGGTTGAATAAACAACAGGTTCCTTGGTTAGATTTACATCAGGCTCCTTGGTTGGATTCACATCAGGCTCCTTGGTTAGATTCACATCAGGCTCCTTGGTTAGATTTACATCAGGCTCCTTGGTTGGATTCACAGCTGGCTCCAAGGTTGGGTTAACAACAGGCTCCTGGTTGGATTCACATCAGGCTCCTTGGTTAGATAGATTTACATGGGTGTTTCATGTTGAAGAGTTTGAGAGTTACTGAAGCTCATGAGTGTACTGCAGTTGCGCGGTTGATAAAAATTACCAGTTTAAATGTTTGATTTAGTTAATTTGATCTTCTCTTTAGTATATACAACAGCAAATACTATGGATGTATAATGATCATTTCACCATCGCACCTTCGAAAGGAACTACAGCAGAAATATATAAAGTATATACTATGGAGGTGCATAATAACTCCGCCCTCGCACCTAGGACAGAGTTTCTACAGTGGAGATATGTGGAGTATATACTATGGTGGTATGTAATTACTCCGCCTTCGCACCTACGACAGTGTATCTACAGCAGAGATATATGGAGTATGTACTGTGTTTGTAAGAAATTACTTCGCCATTTCACCTATGAAAGAGGAGATGTAGTGGAAATCTAGAGTATATACTATGGTTGTGGAGTAATTTCTTAGCCATAGCATTTACATGGAGGGGACATGGAGTACATACTAAGGAGGTATAGAACCCTCTTTGCTATTGCACATTTATAACTATTCAGAAGTATATGTTTTAAAAACGGAACTCACTCGGGTGGAATTAAGCTCTATCAATTGATAGCTTTAAATAAACTAAAACTAATAGTTTCTTTTAATTATTCAGTTTGAACTGAACTGAAACGCCTCTGGAACTAGCAAAAAACGGCGACAAGATGCAACGCCGAGAAACCAAGATGTCACTAGATAAGGGGACAACGTAGAGTTTGTCCCCTTCTGTCGGCCATACATAGATGAAACGTTATCTAGGAACCTAAATGATCCTAGTTTCTACATTGCATAAAAGATGCCGCCTCAATACTAAACTACTAGCATATTTGCTTAGTAGTTAAAAAAGATACTAACGAACCCTTAATGTTCGTATTTAGTATATTTTTTGTAATTAATTATTACCTTCCTTCTAACATCTTACTAATGAAGTCACAATAGTATTAGGACGAACCATCAATGTTCGCATTTATCGCACTTCGTTCGTTCATTCAAGTACTTCTTAATTATTGTGTTCCTTCTTTTACCGTGCAAATGAAGCCTCGATAATAACGAATTAACATATGTTCGCTTAAAATGTAGACTCAATATTAACGAAGAACCAACAATGTTCCTCGTTATGAAGGTCAAATTAATTTTCTTTACGTTAAAAATGGAAACTTGCTCCCGTGTATGCTCACATTAAAGCATACACACTGATAGCATTTTCCAATAAGAGATAACACACACTGTGCTTGTAGTATCTCCCAGTCAGATTTCATAAAAGAATGCTATCATTTTTATATATAATGTAGTTTTTTCTATCGAACTGCTGCTTTACCAATACTTGAATATAAATTTACCAGCAATTCAGACATGAAAAAAACAAAAATAAATGTATCCGTCCTAACAATCTGATATAACCTGAAATCTACTGGATCCGTCCTAACAATCTGATTGTAAAAATTTTTTTTGTGTTGAATCCATATTAACAATCTTGTAAACTATAATGATACGTAAAATAAATATCTAGATTTTAAAAATCTATTGCACATACGACATGGCGGAGATTAAAACACAGGGGAGATCCAGAGTTGGGATATACTTTTACACAGTATATTTTACAATATATTTATGTATCAGAAATCAATTAAATATCCCCTCCCCTTTCCTAGGGTTTTTTAAAAATGTAATTTAAGTAGATGAGAGAAAAATAATTTTCTCATGTAAAAATCCCGTGTTCATCTTGTGTAATAAATTCAAGTTTTTACCATGTAAAAACTTGGTCCTCGACCTGTGATCACAATGTCAACATTCACCTCATCAACACATGAATTATCACAGGATATTCAGGAGTCACTTGTGTGAACTACACCAAATAATCTTGTGTTCTTCACGGGTTTTTGTTTGTTGGGTAGTTGGTGTATCTGGCTTAGTAAAACAAGCTAGTACTGTTAAGGTTCGAACAGCTTAGATTCAAATGTACATGCGATAACTGTGCTGATCATTTAATTGTAAAAGGTTAGTGGTGAGAGAATATTATTATAAACCTGGGCAATGACACAGGTTTTACAGCAAGTTCTCAATTAATAGTATGTGAATTATATTAACTTTTCATTTTTAAATCCAGGTCCCACAATTAGCTTGTCAGTTTGAGAGCGTCAAAACCAGGTTAAAATTTTTAATTAGCAATTAATATATAAATATTATTTGTGTTATTTTATAACAATTCATTCTTTTATTTTAAAAAATTGGACCCACGCAGTGAATCCCACCCAAAAGTTTCTTACATGGGCCTGTCGTTTTCAGGTACTTTAAATAAGGCTCCAGTGCAGTGAAAAAAAAAAAATTCTAAAAAATTTTAAATCCATAATAATTTTTAAAAAACCCAAAACATCTATTAAAATTCCTCATCCCCTCCCCTCTTCATACAGGGTATTTTTACAAAGCTGTGGTTTATGGTATGTAAATTTTGCAATTATAGAAAGGTTCAATGAAGGAGTCCTCTCTCCCTCCCTATGGGCAATGTGCTCTGACGGAGGTCTGACCTTTTTGAGTTTTTGTAAATAGAACCATGTTGCTTATTAGGATTTTGGAAGAATTCAATGCTATTTATAGGAATGAAAGGGGTATTACTTGATTTTTTTGGTTATTCCAGTACATATATGATGGAAGATGGACTTCCAGTACATGTATGAATGATGAAAGATGAACTTCTTTCCTCTCCAGATCCTGAATGTTTTAAGATATATATTAACCTGGAGATTTCAACTTAGTTAGGGTTTCATGCAACTAGAGTGTGAACTCTGGATTAGATTTTCTCAACAGCTGAGTCTTTTCTCTTAATTTAAACCATGAGGCGGTTTACACACATGAGTCTTTCATGCTCACTTTACACTACCAGTTCCTTTATTCTATCAAAATGATTTTTTATTTAGAAACCAAAGTGTGAGAGGAAATTATACAGGACAAATGGAGTTTACTGTAGACCTTACTTCAAAGGTAGAGATTCTGTCAGCAAAATTCTTTGTGAACATTCGTATAACAATGCTATACTGTCTAAAAGGGTATTTTCCCAAAGACATTTTCCCAAGTGACAATTTCTTAAGTGGTAGCTTTCCAAATGTGCAATTTCCCAAGTAGAAACTTCCTAAAGGTTAGGTAAGGCCCTTAGAGGCGCTGCAGGCTGCAATATAGGCCAAACACTGTGGCCAGGATGGGGTAAGGGGCTGAGCTAGAACAGGCTGGGGGCCAAGCACTGCAGCTGGGACAGACTTGGGAAGTTGCCGCTTAGGAAAGTACCCTTGGGAAGTTGCCACTTGACACCTGTAAAAGTAGATGATCTTTGCCGGTACAACATGTACTGTATGAGCACTGCGCAGTCCGTCTAAATGTCCAGTCAGTCTACTCAGTGTATAGTCAACCCAGCGGCAAATGTAACCTGACAAGATCAGATCTTTACCCTATTTTCAACAGTAACCTTAAAACTTGTATATGCTTTACAATAAAAAAGATTTTGTGGTTTAGGAAAAGGGTTCCATATTTAACAAAACCAATGGAAAATATAGCAAATTTGTTTTTACTTTTGCTTAACATTTGTAAAAAGAAAAAAAAAGCAGCATTTAAGCGCTACAATTGATAAGCCTCTTATTAGGTGGAATTTTTATTTTTTATTTTAATATTAGAATTATCAAAACAATTAATGACTTTAGAAAAAGCTTGGTTTTAAAGTATACTACAATTTTCAATAAATCCTGCAAATCAAATATGAAAACCTGCTCTTTAAAAATTCATTGGATAAACAAATAAATGAAACATCAGCTCAAAAAAAGAAATTGAAATATGTCTAATATCTACACAAGAATAGTTCAAGACAACTTTCAGGACTTAAAAATTGTTTCTGGACAGTTTTTAAAATCATTTTATTTGTGCGTACCTTCTAAGAAACAATAAGGAATATTTTTTGATTTCTTACATACATTTTATTTTAAAACTCACCAAATTTCATTTTATTCAGTTCAACAGTACAGACAAAATCTAAAGAATAAAATAAAATGTAAAAATTAACAATTTTTCTTATTTCAGGAGACTTGTGCTCCTTACCATAAAGTTGTCTTTGCTAAAACACATAAAACCGGTAGCTCTACACTTCAAAACGTGTTCTTCAGGTAAAAGCTTTAACACTGTAAAGACTGTAGGGTCTGAATCTATGTATAGCCTAGGGGAGCCCCCCCCCCCCTCTTGAAAAAGGCCAATTTTGCATGGCCAGCTTAAAATAAATAAATTAGAACAATAACTTTAATAGTTTGGGTACTAGGGAGGGTGGAAAAATATGCCTAAAAAAGGGTAAAAATAAAGCTTTTAGATCTATAGCTTTGGTCACAAAACAGTTATGGGATATTATAGATTTTTTTTCACAGACTGAACTTTTTTCCGCCATGTACCCTACCCTATAAATTACAAAATGTTCACAAAAAATCCTTCAAATTACTTCTTATTACAAGTCACAACATTTCAACAAACCCCCCCCCCCCAGTGCCTGTTCAGGGTTAAGGGAATTAAGAAAATTTTAAATATCTGAAATAAAGGTATTAATCAGGTTAAGAGTACTCTCTGTAAATCTTCTACAGTCGATGTATTTTAAGAGATTTTCCATTTTCTAGGACTGGCATGTCAGATTAACAATGGTACCCTTAAAACCTGAATCATGCCTCTCTGTAAATGAGAAATCACTTCATATACACCTGCAGTCCCTTATAAAAGTGACAAATTTAAAATAAAAAACAGTTTTTAAAAAAAATATTTGGGGGAACATTTTTAATCTTCGTTTTGTCCAGGTATGGAAGTGAAAATGGTTTGACCTTCGCAATGCCGGAGAAGTCTTGGATGTTTCCATTCAAGGTACAGGGTGTCCCAATACAGGTGGAAATTGAGAGATATGGTACACATTGTACAGGTGTCCAAAAAATCATGGGAATTAAAGAGTGTTCTAATAAACTGGCAATGGAGGGTTCAGGGTGTCACAAAAAACATAATAATTCTTTTCTAATGGGATTAAAACAATAATTTTACTAAGTAAATTTTTAACCCATTAGTGACGGGACGGTCAATTTTGACCCGGTAAGGTTTTTAACTTTTATCGCCTTCATTTATAAACCAAATGTCATCCTGTTTCATTCCCGCCCTTCCTACAGATATGCCGAATATCGCCTATAGATTGCAGGCATGTTACAGGTTGATAGGGTGCCAGAACAGCTAGCAAAAATGGCGGGAGATTCAAATTCAGGAACCTCCAGATCCAACAGATATAAATCAGTGAAAAATTGTTTTAAAAATTTTTTTATTTCTATGAAAAGTATGCATTTGATGTTAGTTATATGCTAATGTTGCGTTCAATGTAAAAAGTTTATGTTTGCTGCTCTTTTTTGCCTTTTTTCTGCCAGTCAAAATTGCCCTTCTCGGACCAGGTCAATTTTGACCGCCTGGTTGAAATGCCGGTTTTTATGCACACATTGTACAGCATACAACTCCCCCCAATATAGTATATATACACCCAACCCCCTGTGTATTATATTTAATTCACCCCTTCCTTGTAAAATATATACAACCTCCCCCCTTTTTGGCATATATACACCCCCATTGTATAGTAAATATACTATTTGGGGGGTGTATATTTACTATACAATGGGGNCCTGTATAGTATATACAAACCACCCCTAGTTAAGAAAATGTACACAAACAGCCTGTATAGTATATACACTACCCCATTTATAGATTATAAACCCCACCCAGCAAGTTTCAATATTTATCACTGAATGGTAGTAGGAGGGAGGGGGTGCCATGATCCCTGCAAAAATGACCTCCGAGCCTCAGGATTTGCAGAATTACCTCCAGGCCCCGCAAAACTGGTCTCCCAGCCTCTGTGACTTCACCAAGCCTCCCGCCATTCTGTCTCCATGCCCAGCATTTTGGCACCAATAAAAAAATATTTGGCTTTTATTTCCACCAAGAACCTTTTTTTAAAAAATTCTCAACATGATGAAATAGTTCAGAATGATACATTAACATTTTGTATTAAAAAGTGAATTTTACTTGAGATTAAAGGCTTTTATTTTGTTTTTCTAAATTTCACAAATTCCTTAAATTGTGAAGAACTATTGCAGTTTTGTATAAAGATAGAAAAATTTTATATTATTTTAGAGGGGTCTCATATACAAATCAAACAATATCAGCGGCAATTTACAAAACAAGGTAGTTTTTGTGAAATCCTTGTATTTGTGATTTTATTGTATGCTTTAGAAAATATTAAAGAACTATTTTTTTAAAAATTGAAACAAAGAATTAAAATAATCAAAATATCTATTACACGCTTTACTAACAGGTTAGGGCAGCTTCATGTCATATCTTAAATTAAAAGTTAAATTTAATTCTAAATAGTTTTTCTTTTAGCGAGAGAATTCATTAATTTGACTGAAAAAATTGATATACAGAGGCGCGGGGGGAGGGGGTGGGGGGTTGCACAAAAATTATAGGACAGATCCTCATTAATTTGCATTTTCATGATAAAATATAATGCTAGGGAATCGAGAGTTAATAAAATCTTAAAATCATGATGCCTTCAAAAATATTAGATAAGTCGTTTATAAAGGTCGTCTTTTACTTATTCCATCTTAATGTAAACTTTTACAGAAAACCAACTCCAGAACAATTGAATGAATTAACATGTCAAAATTGTTGATTAAACAGTTCTTTAAACTATGACTGAGTCTACTATGAAGAGATATATTTTAATATTTGTTTGGTTAAGCCAATAAATTTGAACCAAAAATTAAATCAACAAGTGGAGACCAAAATGAAAGGGCGTGGAGACAGAATGGCGGGAGGCTTGGTGACATCACAGAGGCTGTGAGACCAGTTTTTCAGGGCCTGGAGATAATTCTGCAAATCCTGAGGCTCAGAGGTCATTTTTGCGGGGATCATGGCGCCTCTGAACCCCCTCCCTCGTAGTAGAGGTACAGGACCCAGTCAATTTTGTCTGATGCCGAGCCCATCAAAATTGGCTGGGTTTTGTATCTCCATTACCATTCATTGAAAAAAATTAAAACTTTAGATCTACTCTATGGACAGTATAAGGAGATAACTCTGTGAATTTTTAGCAAGATCAGAAAGAATTATTTGTCTTGTCACTTATGGGTTAACTATTTTTACATTAAGCTAAATTTTTAAACTATCAAACATCAGACATGCAATTTTTAAAATAAAGGGTCTCTTGAAACCATGGCAACAGTCTCTTTAAACTTGAATTTAATTTAGGAACCCTTTAACTCAAGTATGGTGCTGGATCTACCATGGGCTAAACTAGGATATGATATCTTTACCTTCCATAGGTTGAGTGATACAGGGCTGTATATTTTCACAAAAAAATCATACTTCCCCCTTTAAAAATAAATTTTCACTCAAAGATATTTATATATGTTTTGGGTTTTCATTTGCTGAACTGAGGAAAATTAATGTTTTTTAGGGGGGAATTCTGAAAAATATACAGCCCTGTAGTAATGTGCATTCAATTTGGTTTAGTGTTAGAAAAAAAATGCTTTTAGAAGTTTTTAATCTAAAGATTTACTTTTTTACAAATGTTTTTGATTTTTAATTCTAAACAATTGTTTTGCATAACCTATGTAAAATTTTGACCCTGACAGAAGATATGTGAAAAATAAGATCTGAAAAATATGGAAACATAAACTTGTTGTAATAATTGTTTTTTCCATTTGTATTTTTAGTAACTTAAACAATATTAATTTTTTTTAAACTAACCAAAACGAAACACTTTTAATACTTCTGCAAATGCTCCTATTTGTATTTGTATAACAATATCTGGGACCTGGAGATTGCGCGGTACATTTCAGGATCTTATACAAGATAGACTTTAGAGCCATAGCTCATAGACAACTAACAGAAAGTCAACAGACAGCTATCAGTTTAAGGAATCTTCTCCCATCATTATACATGAATATGTATCTTAAGACTCCTCAGTATAATCAAGAGATTGATCTGCAGTGGTTTCTGGAACTGAACCAATTATACTTGTATCAGCTAGTTGGGTCTACCTACAGATTATAAACAGTTGCAGCAAGTTCAATTACAATTTAAGATGTACCAGATGAAGCTCCAGATTCTCTAGATGGTTCATGTAATAGGTACACTCAAGGTGCAGAGCAACTAGGACTTCTAAGATATTCAAGATATCAGATGCTGTCTAAACCTGAGAGTGGAGATGCTGATCTTTATAGATAGCTATTCGTATATCTGGAGCAGATCCAGTCAAACATAGCAGAGACTCCAAAATATCAATATATACCTCATCAGAAATTCATCCCTTGTAGCTTCTAGAACCCATTGGAATAACTTGGTTACAGAGCAGAACTAGGATATCCAGGATTCTGAGAATGGAGACGCCACTCATTGTGGAACAGCTCTGCATAGAACAAAATGGCAACAATGATGATAAAAACGATGATTACCATGATGGTAATCATGATGATAACAATGATGACAACAATGATGACAATAATGATGATAACAATGATGATAACAACAATGATAATAATGATGATAACAACAAGGATAACCACAAGTAATAGGAGAAGCTACTCGGAAAGATCCTGAACTGTAGCAGTTGAATATCTGAAGGGACTTATTTAATCTGAATAAATGTTACAGATGTATTTAATAAATAAACTATGAAACTGATTAATCCCAATTATTTTAAAATCTGAGAAATAGGGACAGAGAGGTTATTAAAGGGATTCACATTAAAACAAGGGTAAGTGGATCTTGAGCGAAATATTTGAATAAGCCTTACAACCATGGATGCAATTGATGGATCTCAAAAATCCCTAGGACTTACATCTGCCTTGTAATAGAAGACAATAATAAATATTACAAACTGGCACAGCACAGAGAGGGGTTAAGAAATGGGTTTTCTGTTCTACCTTCACATACAATATACTTGCTGAATTCAATATTTATGGATATCTAACCTTATTATAACTGATGAAAAAAAGTCAGAGCAATGTACTCAACAAGAGAAAATGAACAAAAGAACCCCTGCTTTTTCATAAGTAGCTCTGAATATTCCTCACATAATCCCCGGAAATATCTACTACTGGGATAGGGGGAGAAGGTGACCTGAACCCGTTTGACTTCCGACCCGAAGATGACGTGATAAAACAGGTTTGTGGCATGCGCTTACCCCTATGCTGTCCGACCCTCACCACTTGGCCTTTCGGCAAAATTTCTTAATTTATTTAGGCTAATTATAGACAATGAAGCATTAACTAAAATTTATGAAGATGTCATGGTATTTTTTATATAATAAAATTATTCATGATATTTTTTGTCTATAACAGTAGCACCTCTACCTGCTGAATTCAGCAATAGTCTTAAAATTCAGATCAATTACAACATAATAGTGTAGATAGTATTTGCAGCATTGCACTATTAATGTCACTCACCCGTATGTCTTCCGTCCCGCATTTGTATTCATAGGATTTTTAGATAATACAGAGCGTCCCATATCATATTAGATTATATCCAAGCTTTAATGCCAATATATGCACAAATACTCCAAAAACCTAGTATTTTCTGCAAGAAAACTTTTATAAGCCTTGTAAAGACGACTTTTATCGTAATTTTTTCATGTTTTGCATGGTCCGAAAAAATGCTAAAATGATAAAGTAAACATTGATGCTACAATACATTTGATGACCAAGCCATTTCCTTCCTTAAAATATATTATTTTTGTAATGACTTTGCAGTTTTCATGAGTGCATTGACGTCGAACATTCCATGGTAATAAATGTGGTTTTTTGCAATTTATTTAAGTATATACTAGCTGACAATAATCTGCTTAAAAAAAGTTTTGGAACACCAAGACAAAAATCATTGCTTAAATAAAATATCGCATTTTGGTGTGCAATTCATTTAAGAATATGCTATAATCTAAGAAAGGGTTAAGAAAGAAATAAAAACTAATTTCAGACTTATAATAATTGCCTTTTAAATTAAGACATTTTGCTGGAAGGCCAAGGGGTAAGGGTCAGACGACATAGGGGTAAGTGCATGCTGCAAATCCGTTTTTTGACGTCATCTGTGGGTCAGATGTCAAATGGGTGCGGGTCCCCTGCTTCCCATCACTGGGATATATCAGAGACAACTACGCCACTAGATCCGAGATATTCATCCAAGCACTGGTGAACAGTGGAAACTTGTTTGGGGACATCATGTCTGAGAAACTGGCCAAAATGTTAAAATTACAGTATAATCCCTGCTCCTTGAAGGCTGGAACTGCAGTATCCGGACAACAAGTCCAAATTCTAGGAAAGGCTAACCCTATGGACCTGATTTTAGAAGGGTTACCAACCCCTGAAAGCCAGATTGCCCCATATGTGATTAGAACTTTTCCCACATCCTTAATGTAGGAGAATAGTTTTTGAGACAAATAAAGCTGAAATTAAGTTTGAAGGAACAAAGGTGAAACTGAAATTAATCAACAAACTGATAGAACTGGTTAACAGAAGCCTCCCAGTAGTAGGGAACTCAACCAACCCATGATTTAGAGGAATAATCCAGGAAGATAAAATGAATAGAGACAAATTGAAGAGAACTCATTTCATTGAAATTAATCAAGTGGGATTTGAAGTGAAACCCAAAAAGAGAACTATTATCCCCAAGGAGTACTCAGCAGCCCAAATACTGGTCAAGTCAAACTTTAGATCAGAAACGGGACTTTTCTAGAGTAAAGAGAATTCTTACTTCCTTAATTCCAACAATCTGCTGCCACCGAATGGAATATTCAAAGTTAAAGAGAACATATTTGCAGTCACAGTTTTGAATGTGGGGGCTAAAGCAGTGGTTTTACCAAAAAAAGATAGAAGAGAAAAAAATCTACTCAGGATCACAATCTCCAATGACCAGTGCTAGGGCTGAATCTGTCAGTTTCAGCACCCTGAACCACAGACCAGAGCAAAGTTTATCAGCAAGAGAATTGGAAGAAAGGAGAGAATTTATGAGGAAAGAACTGAACATAAACAAGATTAAGATAGAGAAACATTTAAGAACAAATCGTAAATACCATTTTTAAACATTGAGATGCAGTCTCTGTAAACAGTGAAGACTTAGAAAAATCAGAGTTGCTACAGTTCCAATTTCCTTAGTTCCAGGAGCCACCCCAATATGTGCTAAATGTAGACCATTAAACCCTGTTGAAAGAAAAAAACCTAGAAAGACAACTTAAAGAGTGGACAAAGGCTAATGTTATAGAGCCTAGTGTTAGCTCATGCAAGAAGAAAGGAACTGACAAGCTAATATGGGCTGTCCACTACCATCCTGAACTACTCAAACAACATCCTAGAGCACTTAACTCTATAACTGTCTATAACCTGGAGAAACTATTTACCCTGTACACAGACTTATCTGGGATTGCTTCTGGAGGAGTATTATCTCAAGTCCAAGGAGAACAAAGTCTCTGGACACAGCACAACAGAAATACCCTGCACTTAAAGGAAATTTATTAGCAGTCATCTGAAGATATTCTAAGGACCGGGACAGATTCTTCAGCCATTGCAATTCAAAAGGACTTAAGGAAGCTAGAGGAATAAGGGCAAGGTGGCTAGTGTATTTGTCCTCAATTGATTTTGAGATCATTCACAGATGCTTTATGCAGGACAATTATACCAAGGAATGAAGAGGACTATGGACAATTATCTACCCTATTTGGAAATGGAATAACAACAATGATAACAATGATGACAACAACAATGATAACAATGATAATGACAATAATGATAACAATGAGGATAACAATGAGTAATGAGAGAAGCTACTCTGATAGATCCTGAACTGTAGCAGTTCAATATCTAAAGGGACTTATTAAATCTGAATAAACATTACAGATATATTTAGTTAATAAATTATGAAACTGATTAATCCCGAATAATTTATACTCTGAGAGAAATGGACAGAGATGTTATTAAAGGGACTGAAATATTTGCATAAGTACTACAACCATGGGTGCATCAATGGATATCAAAACTCAACAAAATTTACATCTGGCTTGTAATAGCAGACAACATTAAATATTACACCACCTGGGTCCAGATTTAGAAAATAGAGAAATATACAGGGTGTCCCAGGAAACAGGACAGTTTGTGAATAGTTTAAAATGTCATTTTCTATAATTTGACACCAAGAATAATAAAAAGTATTATTTAGCAGTCATAGTTAAAGTAAATATATTTAAATAAAAAAGGTTTTTATAAAATAAACTGCAAAAAGTCTTTAATATCTATAGACGTAGACACTCATAACTATTCACCAACTGACATGTTTTGTGGGACACCCTGTAGTTGAACTCAAATAAAGTATAAAAGAGACTGTTAACATAGTTTCAAGTGACTCTTCATGTAATGAGTTATTTATCCGATTCACAACAGTACCCTTTAAACCTTTATCTGAGCAGCAATGATGAAGATATTGTAGTTTCTGTCTGGAAAAGTGTTGAATTCCGACAATTATCTTCTTCTTCTGTTGATGTGAATCGGACATTCCACTCTTTAAGTTGAAGGTACCACTTGAAATTATGAAGTCAGTCCCTATAAAGATTATGGTTGTGAGACGGACCATGTACTTTATTGAACAATTATTTGAAAACAATAGAAATTGATTTTTTATAAACAAATTTTTAGTATATGGAATTATGCTGAAATAAAGAAGGTTCTACCCACAGCTGTTTATATCACAATTCTTAGGCAAGTTTATTTGTTTTCATTGAACAAAAATATTGGGCTCCATACATTTATACAGGGTGTGCAGTGGCTCAATCCTTGTTACATGCTAAATCCCCTTTAGCAATTGTAGGGGGGGGGGGGGTTAGGGGGGCCCTCCCAAACCCCCCCCCTGTATACAACCTGGCTCTATTATTCATATAATTTTAATGGATATCTTATTAAATTACTTGGTAAAATTCTCATTCTACCCTAAAAGTAATATTCTAGACTAGCTATTGGGTGTGAGAAAAAAATTGATCTGAGCTTGAAAAAAAATGTTTTCTATCAGTAAAAATTTTATTGGCAATTTGTGCTTGTTAGTCTGTTTGTTTGAGTCCAAGAAATATATAAAGAAAGAACCTATTGCAAATTTTATTTTTCCTATTAAAATTCCACCAAAAATCATAATCACAAGATGACTTAAAACTCATAAAATATGACAATTTCAAGGTTAATTTATATTTTCTGTCCTGAATATAGTCAAAGCAAAAAGATACATTAAAGACTTAGCAAAAAAAGAAACAAGTTTACAGTTTCAAGGAATCATAAATGAACAGGAAACAGATAGGATACATTTTGAATAGTCGTCTCAGAAGTATCATTCTTTGTGGGTAACCCTGTTTATAAGCCAAGGACCTTTAAAAAACTAATGCTATAATTTAGGGACCCTGTTGATTGCTTCGAATCCAACTATGTATATATGGGCCTGCAGGAATTTTAATAATCAAAAAAAGTTTGAATTCTTGTGAAACTACTAAAAGCTAATTTCTCGGTCAGTTTTTAATAATTCAAAATCAAGAATGATCAAACTTTAAAAAAGTTATTATTTAAATTGCAGAATTTATACAAAATGGACATCAACGAATTTGCAAAATTTAAGGTAATCAAACATTCTCCAATTTATTCTTTACACTGGTTACAGACATGAAAATTATTGTTTACAGGGTGTGGAATATTCTTGGATTTCACCACAGAATGAAATTTTAAAAAAATATAAATTTTTATGTATATGAAAGTAAATGGAATTCGAACTTTGTTTTTGTTTTAATTTAAAATCAATTATTATTTGAGTAAAATCAAATAAATTCACAATTTTTTAAAAAGTTTTTAGAAATTTAACTAACATATTAAAAAGAAAATTATTATAATGTAAAAAGTACAATTTCTATTGCTTAAACATAAACTTGAAAGAATTTCTGATTGAAGAGAAAAGACCAGATTGTCTGAGATCTGTGTTTACATTTTTAGTGTACTGCTCTGGAAGTGATTGGATGGAATAATTGTTTACAATTGTACCAAGTTCCATAGAGTCGACCTTGGAAACTGGTTTTCCAGTTGTCAGTACACAATTGTCTACTTTGCATTCGTTTCACTCTTTTAATGTACAGGGGATTTGTATTTAGATAGTACAGTGGAATTTCCTTTTTCCTGTACAGTTGAATATTCAACTGACTGTACATCCGAGTATTCTATATTCTGTGCAGCTATGTTTTCTACGGTCTTTTTAACAAAGGCTTGGTCTGCAAAGTAGAGGCTCAATCTGCCTAGCTAATCTGGGAGGCTCATGTATGCATAGCAGAGGCTTTGGGGGGTTTCCTCCCCTGTCTGACTAGGTTTTGATATTAAATCATAAATAAATAAGTTCAAAATTAAATACATATGCTGATGCAAAAAGATTGTGAAGTAAACATAGACTTTATTCCAAATTAACGTTAGTTCAATCATATTTTAGTGCAATCAATATAACGTCAAATATCAAAAATAACATGAAATATAGTATACCTGAAGTAAAGTCGATTTTATTATTTCCAGACTACTCAAACTGATATGAACAAAACTTGAAATATGTATTTCAAAAAAACATTTTTGAGAATTAAAATTAAACTTTTTTTTTTATCTGATCCTTGGTTTTCATTTTGTAGTTTAGAAGCAAAGAAGTTGTTCACCATTAATACTATTGGCTCCTTAACAGAAAATTAATAACTAATAATTAATGTTCGAAAACAAAACATTGTTAAGGGAGTAAAGGGTAATTTCAAAAGATTGCCCAATCCTCATCAATACCCTTACCCAGAAAACAGAAGTGGATGTTACAACTAGATGTCAACTAGTTGTTCTAAACTCCACTTCAAAACTCAACTTAAACTCAACTTTAACTCCACTTTTGAATTCCAGTCACCAACCGGGTGAAATCTGGGTGCATACACTTGAACTAAACTCGACTATTTGAATCCCAGTTCTCACCGAGTCAGGGTGAAAACATTTCATCCAGATATCATCCATATATCACCCACATATCATCCAGATATCATCTACATATCATCCACATTTCATCCAGATATTATCCAGATATCACCCACATATCGTCCAGATATCAGCCACATATCATCCACTTATCATCCATATATCATCAAGATATCACCCAAATATCATCCACATATCATCCAGATATTACCCACATATCGTCCAAATCTCAGTTTTTAAATTACAACCCCCCAACTTGGTGAAAAGTCGAGTTTTCACCCTTATATGGCACGACTATCGCCGGTGAAAACTCCCCTTTTAAACTCGATTAAAACTCCACTTCTCATCATCCAGATATTACCCAAATATCATCCAGAAATCATCCAGAAATCGACTAGAAATCATCCAGATATCATCAAGATATCATCCAGAAATCATCCACATATCATCTTGGTGAAAAGTCGAGTTTTCATCCTTTTATGGCACGACTATAGCTGGTGAAAACTCCACTTTAAACTCGATTAAAACTCCACTTCTGGAAAGCAAAAGTCGAGTTTTACTCAAGTTTAACTCAAGTTTTTGTTTGCTGGGTAAAACCTGTATCTGATCAATAACATGGTGGATATTGTAATTTTTCTATGCGTTTATTTCTGAAAATATTCTCCTTTAAAAGAAATGCACAAGTCACTTTCAGAGAGAAACCACAGCTAAAAATAATCAAAATCAAAACTATTGATATCTTATTCATAATTGATCAGGCAAAGCTTTGTGAATCAGGCAATGTCATCCCAGCATGGAGAGTCACTTAAAACTACCATTGTCAGTCCCTTTGATATCCAATCAGAAAGAAACAAAACAAAAGTGATATTTTTAATGGCCTATTGTACCTTGAATATCTATATTTACTTTACATCAGTTTTCAACTTGAACAGTTTATCCATCTTGTACATATTCTTCTGTGTGGCATTTTGATAACATTTGGTAACAGATCTACATAGGCTTGAAAACCAAGTGAAGGGGCTGGTTTCCGGTCAGACAAGTAAAAACAATGGTGGTACTAGCCTCTTCCGACAACCATTCTTGGCAGGCTTAAAGCCATCTGAAACTGTCAATTTTAACTTTATATTCTTATTTTTCTTTTTTATAATCCGATTTTCCCTAGGACTCCAGACACATGGTCAGACCATCAAAAGCAATCATAGGTGAGCAAAGATTAAATGGATTTAATTCATTTCTTTATTAGTTTAGAAAAAATTGATTGATGATTCAGCTCAGTTAATCTCAACATTGATGGATTAGTTTATAGACCAGCTAGCTTGGTAAATTCATAATTGATTGATAGACTGACCACCAAGTTATACTGATCCTGATTATGCAGCAATTGTTGATTTTTAAGTTAAGAGTCAAGCTTTATCAGTTAGTTTACCTGCCAGTAATGTTGATTGATTGACCGGTTAGCTGAACAGGTTAATTAACCAGCTCGCTTGATTAACTGATTGTTTAACAATTGGCTTGATTTGTAAATACAGGAAAAAATCAGATGCTATGGGACCTGGGCCTAGATTGGAGAGAAATGGAAAACATAACTTTAGTACAAAGCAAGGTTAATTTTACACTTATTTTTAAGGGATTATTGTTGTCACCCAACCATCGTCTTATTAATCTCAAAACAAACTAAGGCTTGGGTCATTCTTTAGGAACTCAGTGTCATGGATTTTCTTTTCATAGAGTCTTGAGCACATCATCATCTCAGATTTAGCACACAGCTAGCATTTTATGAGAAAACATTTAATCAAAATTTTTATGCTACTGTGGTCTCTGGTTACTAAGTTATAGTCTCCTAAACTTCCGGCCTCAAGGCAATTTTTAGCATGATCTCCCATGCTTTAATTGGTTGTAACTTTTTTGTTAACTAAGATATCATTTTTTTTACTAATTGCATATGCACAAAAATTGTTTTTTTTTTATTTTTGACCTCAATTTCTCCGATTTTCTCAAAAACTTTTGTAGATATTCCTGACAATGTTTTAAATGACCATGTTAAGTTTCAATTTTGGATTTTACTTTTTTTTTAGTGCTAGTGCTTTATAACCATAATTTTAGTATTTTTCAAAAATATTCTACTAAAGTTGTCTAATCAGTTAGAAAATTTGTCGGTTTTGTTAGAAAAGTCGTTTTTGGCAAAGCAAATTTTCAAGAATGATCTCAATATTAAAGTTAAAAAGCTCCAACAAGAAGTAAAATTAAAAATTAGATTTTACCTGATCTTGAAATATGTTACAACCAATTAAAGCATGCAAAGTCAGGCTTTAAATAGAGTAACCATCCCCCCCTGCTCTATTTAGAGGCACACATTCTGTGCTCTTCTCTATTTAGAATCTCAGTTCCAAAACTCTTCTTTATGCAGAGTTTCAAGACTCTTCTTTAACCAGAGTAACCAGAGGTTACAGAAACCTGAAATATTTAAATTCATGTTCTTTCATAATATGCTATCTGTGTGTGAAATTTAAAGATAATCCATAATATTTTCTTCTATGGGGTGGCTGACTTTATAAAGATTAACCCGCTTGCAATATTATTTTTCATTTACTAGTAACCACTAGATTTCAAGATCATTATTTAAATTTTTTTTTGTTGCGTTTTGATTTCTCGCTGCAATATTTACTTAATACGTTAGTCTAAAATAGGATAAAAAATTAGGCTATGAAAAAAAGAAATGTTGATGTTTAAAAATAATGAAGTTTTTGTTCCAGATAAAAGATCTTGATTCTCAGTTTCATTTTGTATTGTTTGCTGAACATTTTGATGAGTCTCTAGGAATGATAAGAATTAAAGTATGGAATTTCAACAATTAAAATTTTGAGATAATTTAAGCGTTTGACCAAAAATCGCAAATGCTTTATATCAACATCAAATAATACATTCACACTTGATGATTTATTCCCAGGTTGTATATTTACTGAAAAATAACTCCCATCTCTTTTTTGATTTTTTTTTTCCCCATAGAGAACTTTTTGGGGGGTTTTATATGCTGAATTTTGGAAAATAAATTAATTTTGGGGAAAAATTATGAGAAAGGATTAAGAAAGATGAAGGCTTTACATGTCCAATTTTTGACCCCCCTTCCCCACACCAGATCTTCAATAGTATTGTTTTTGTCAAATCTAAAACAAATTACTTCTGAAATATCAGTAATGCTTGCCAAAATTCTCTGTTGGGATTTAGAAAATATGAGGTAAACTTGGTGTAACGCATATTATGACATCACTTCAATCTGTTTTTTACAATACCTTCAAGTGTGTCACATTAATTCACCTTCATAAATTTCATATAAACTTCGATTTGATTTCCTTGATATATCGATGGGCAGATTATTGGTAACTAATAATTTGGTAATTAACATTTTGGTAACTAACAATTTGGTAACTAAGAATTTGGTAACTTGACAATTTGGTAACTAACAATTTGGTTAATAACAATTTGGTAAATTGACAATTTGGTAACTTGACAATTTGGTAACTAATAATTTGGTAACTAATAATTTGGTAACTTGATAATTTTGTAACCTTAGAATTTGGTAACCTGACCATTTGGTTTACAATAAAATTCTAAAATGAAATTATCAGGACTATTTAAAGATTTATGATTCACTAGGTTTATTAAACTTTGCAGCTGCATTTTTGAGAACATCTTTGATCACGGTTTTAGTGATGTCCGCTACATTATTATGAATACCAGTTTGTTCAAAGGAACAAGGAACCTTTAAGTGATGAACTATAGCAGGACATCCTTCGTCCTCCTTTTTATATCTCTTACAAACCAAAAGACCATAGTCCTGTGTATTTTTTTCATGTAATACTGAAATTGTTGAGAATCCTGCTGCATTACACCTCCCCTCGATGTTCGCAGAAACTCATACCCTGCCATTTTGAGATGAGAAATTGTGATTGTGAAGTTTACGAATAGTTTTAGAGGATTTGTCATACTAAACTTTTAAGAAATCCTGTTTATTGTTTTTTTTTCTTGTGATTGATTGTGAAACATTAGTTTCAATTATACAAATTGTTAGTTAACAAATTGTTAAGTTACCAAATTGTCAAGTTACTAAATTGTCAGGTTACCAAATTGTTGGTTACCAAATTGTTGGTAACCAAATTGTCCAGTTACCAAATTGTTAGGTTACCAAATTGTTAGTTACCAAAATATTAGTAACCAAATTGTTAATTACCAAAATGTTAGTTACCAAATTGTTAGTTACCAGTAATCCACCCATTGATATATCCTTATCCCCACCCTCCACCTTCTCTTTACAACTAATTTACCCTTATTTGAGAAAAGTATTGAACAGGATGAAATGGATGTCTTTTAGACATCCATTTTCAAGACTCCCTGGAATAAAAATCATCATCATAACCAAGGAAGGGAGGTAGATTTACCCATGTTTTGATCTTTAAAAAATGTAATCCAGGTATCTGAAGCAAAACATGAGAAAAGCAGAAAAAGTTTCTGTCATAAGTTCAGGAGCCAGAGAAACACTGAGGTAATTTTCATGTAATTTTAACCAATAAAAAATTAGTGACATTGGCTGTTGTTTTAAAACAAATATATTTATTCTTTTTATATTCTGTTAACTTTAAAAAACTTGTCATTTATTAAAGGAACATTGATTAGCCCTCAATATTTTTTATATTGATTTTTTGTCTCCAGGACATGATTGGGTTGTTACCATCAAATCTGGGAATTTTTCTAGCTGCTTAAGGGCTTATTAAGCCTGAGAATATAGAGAGCAGGAATTCTTCTGATTTATAGCTGTATGTGCTTAAATTCTGTGATCTTATGAAAAATGGTGTCACACACGATTCACCCCAGCTGGCCCCAGCCCTTAATATGACAAAACATTTGTCATGTATTTTAATTTTATTGGGTTGGGGTGGTTAGTCTTCTCGTTATATCACTGAAGGTTGTCTGCAGCCAGTTACTTGATTGGTATCCAGACTGGTGTTCATGGTTTTAATTTGGCACTCCTGACAAACTTGTGGTTTCCAAATCATCTGAAGCCAAGATTTGGTTAAACAGTTATGACCACCTGACGGATGTAGGATGACAGTGAATGCTTTCTACTCAACAAGAAAGAAGCTTGAAGTGGATGGATCCAAGTGAATGATTTGAAGAGAAGAAAGGTTGAAAAGCAGGAAGAATCCATGGTTGCCAGCTATAGGGGAGGAAGGCCAACCACATCAATCTCTAGTCCGAACCACATTTTCATCATTTTCTCGTCCGAACCACATCGAAATCCTTGTCCTTTCAATATTATTTTTTTTAAGTGTCCGATCCTTGAAAATAAATACATTTTTTTAAAATATGGCGACGTTAGGGCATAGATGAAATATCAAATTTTCCCAATTAAAGTTTAGATTTGTGTAAAAGTAAAAAATGCTCCATAAACGATGTTCTACAAAAAAACGTCTTTATCTAGGGCCCTTTCTTTCGCGGAAAATGCCACAAAACATTCTCAAACTCGATGTATACAACTTTTTGTAATATTTCAGCCTGAGTAAATACTGTTTGAATTCATAGGGTTGTGACCAATTAATTGTAGCAAATAATTTGAATAATATAAATTGAACATAATTTTTTCTATAATTCTAAGCAAGCGGCAGGCAGTAGTGATCTCTTAGTGGGGACAACAAATCTATCTTATTTGTAAATAAATCAGAAATCAATAATTTTTTTGTATGGGTTGAAATGGAAAGATAAAAGACCATGTTCACGCAAATTCTTTGGTATACATTTTTATTTGTGAAAGTTATCCATTTTAGAGGCAGAAGAGATTCAATTTTGAACCTAAATAATGTTTGACATCATTCACGTGGATTTGAAGATTCCAACATCTCAAAATCCTCGGAAAACTTTATTCAAATCATGTTTTATGCCCTAAAGTTGCCATATTTTTAAAAAATGTATTTATTTTCAAGGATCAGACACTTAAAAAAAATAATATTGAAAGGACGAGGATTTCGATGTGGTTCAGACGAGAAAATGATGAGAATGTGGTTCGGACTAGAGATTGATGTGGTTGGCCTTCCTCCCCTCGGGTATAAGTACCTGAAGGTATCCAATCTAGGCTTACAAATGATTGGAAGCAATGAGTGATTTTTCATATCTGTAAGGCACCTGGGCCTCATTCCATTATATCAGAAGAATTTATGCACTCTACTACTCTCAGGCCTAGGACAGCTGGAGTCTTGGCAGCCCTCTTCTCAGAATAAATGAAGAGTGGAGGAATGAATGTGCTGCCAGATCACAACCCCTGGCAGATCAATACAAAACACCAACAATACCAAATTTTGCAAAAGAAAAATTCCCATTTTCAATCGTAATAATCTGATCCTGTCCTGGGGACCAAAACTTTCAATTTTAATTTCTAGTAAATGGCTTCAGGCAGACTATATGCTTTATGATCACTTTCTAGAGAAGTTTAAGAGGGAAAGAGAAAGGTCAGCTATAAAAAAGATCAACATTACTAAATGTGGACTGGATAAGGCAACTTAACTATTTCCACAGCACAAAATTTCAATTTGAAGATTTATTACCCTAAATCAGGGAAAACATTGTGAACAAGTCCATCAGAAGCTTTAATCAAAAGTGTTGTCCTGGCCTTTTTACAAGTTGTAATTTTCAAAATTTAGTTATGGTTTGGAAAAGCTAGCAACAGATGTGCGCAGATTGGAGTTGTTAAATCTACAGCTAAAAGAGGACTGTGTAATAGAAGTAGCTGATAATAGTAAACTAGCAGGAGAGTTCAGGTAATCAAATGATTAAACTGATAATCATTTAATCAGAAATTCAGGAATTTCCCTGAAATTTTATTCTATTCTCAACAAAATTGTAAAATTGGTAACCAAGCCCTGAGAATTTCACAGGAATTTACAGAGACATATTCTATAGAAATACTCAGGAATTTCTCCGTGGAAAATTCCTGAGAAATTATTTGGAACTTCTGGAAACTATGTCTTCTAATCAATTCCCCAAAAAATTTGTAAAATTGGTGACCAAGACCTGAGAGTTTCTCAGGAATTTCCATACAAATATTTCATAGAAGTTCTCAGGAATTTCTCCATGCAAAATTCCAGAGAAATTCTCAGGAATTTCTTGAGAATATAGTCTTTGATTCAGTTCCCCAAAAATTCCGTAAAACTGGTGACCACATCCTAAGAATTTCTTAGGAATTTCTGGAGAAATATTAAAGAAATATGCTTAGGAAAAAATTCCAGAGAAAATTTCAGGAATTTTTAGAGAAATATTCCAGAAAATTTCTCAGAAATTTCTTGGGGAAAATTCCAGAGAAAATCTCTGGAATTTCTTGCAACTAATTCTCAAAACTCTGATCCCTTAAAAATCTCTCAAATTGGGGACCAATTCAGGAGAATTTCTCAAGAATTTCTGAGGAATCAGTCACAAGAACTTGGAGAAATTGTTACCTGGGTTGCAACAGACTTTTACTGTAATCCAAAGAGAAAAATAAGAAAGATTATATAATATTTTTGGAGGGGTGGATTGATACTTGTATTAAGGGCTGGGCACGTTCCGACTTTTTTGAAATTGTTCTGTTCCGTTCAAGAACGAGGGCCTTCAGCTAAAACATTCCAATCTTGTTCCTCTTTTTTTATCATTCCGTTCTTGTTCCGTTCCATCCCGTTTCGTTCTGTTCTGAGTAGAAGAACGGTCTTCCCATTCAATTCCGTTCTTGGCGTTCTTAGTTGAAGAACGGTTGCATCCCTCTTGTTTTGTTCTTAATCAAGAACGTTTCCATCCCCCGTTCCGTTCTTAGTAACAAACAATTCCATCCAAGACAAAAGTTTTATAGAAAAGAGTTGGTTAAAAAGTAAAAAAAATTACGATTTTTTAATAAAAAGTTCCTTACGGCCGTAAATAATACTTCAAATTATATATTTTAAATTTAGGGTTAAAAGAATATGCTTAGATAATTTCTGGGCGGAGCAATGTGTAATTTTGAGAGAGCAGGGGGAGGGGCGGGATCGTCCTTAATATGTACGATATACAGAAGTTATAAACTGAAGCCTGCTGTTTGTCTGAGTGTTGTCAGTTTAGCAGAGACCGGGGAAGGGGAGGGGATTGCCAGTTTAAAGTGGGGGGAGGGTAATTAAATAAAAAAAATCTTCAACTATTTCTAGAGGATTTAGAATACATTCCTGATTTAAAATGCATTCCCAACTTAGAACGAGTTCTTGATAATAAGGACACGTTAACGATTTTAACCTTCAAGAAGTTCCCGTTCCGTTCCGTTCTGTTCTTTTACTAATCGTTCTTGATCGTTCCGTTCGATCTTGGGAAAGAACGATTGTTCCACCTGGAACGTGCCCAGCCCTACTTGTATTTCTACAGTTTACAAAAAAATAGATTTGAGAGATAAACTGTCAGGGGTNCCCCCCCCCCTCCCATTTGTACAATTAATTGGGGAAAAAAAAGAAAAATTGCAAATCAAAAGGTAAGCTTTTTTATTTATATTGAAAGTTTTTCAAAAAAAAATTTAATTATTTCCAACTTAAACTTGTATATTTTTCCGCGATTCAGCAAAGATGACTGTAAGGAAATATTTCCGCTTGGCCCAAACATAACTAAACTTCTCTTGAAAAAAAACATTTTCAATGAGGGGGGAGGGGATAATTTTTCAAGGAAATATACACTCCTGGAAATAACATTTCGTTAACTGACCCCTTCACGATCTTGAACTTAGCTAAAGCTACATCTACATGTTCCAGGCATGCTTTTAGCTTTGATTCCTCCTTTGTTTTTCACTCCAGTCAAATGTTCATTGGAAGTAAATGGGCCCAATCAGCAAAGCACCTTCCTGAATTAATTTTTTATATTTATATTATTTATAGTTTAAATTGCTTTTAAGCAATTTTCATTTTACAGTAACTGATTCAAACTGCAGTACTAAGAAATCATAATTGAGATTTGTCCAATAAGATTACTATAAACCAAGCCAGCTCGGGCTGTTCTGTATAGTATTATATAGGGTAAATTCTCCAAGTTTCTATTCATCATTTACCCAACAAACAAAAAACCGTGAAGAACACAAGATTATTTGGTTTATTTCACACGAGTGACCCGTCAATATCCTGTGATAATTCATGTGCTGCTGAGGTGAATGTCGATGATTTAATCACGGGTCTAGGACCGAGTTTTTACACAGTAAAAACTTCAGTTTATTTCATTAGATGAACACGGGATTTTTGCATGAGAAAATTATTTTTCTTCCATCTACTGTACTTGGTAGTTCTTTTAGAAGAAGATTTTCAATCTTGGTTTTCTTAATATTAAAACAAACACAGAGAAGTTTCTTATTTCTTAACATATCAGAAAAGAACTTTTGAAGAGGATTTTCTTTTATAAAAATAGTTTTTAAAATTACTTTTTTTTTGACAACTTTCCAAGGTTCTGATTTGAAACTTTCAAGTGATCCTCAATGCATAGATGTCAATGCCCGATTCACACATAGATAAATAAATACACATAGATAGCTTATGTACGCAAAATCACCAAGAATTGTACAGTCCGCGAACTCATACTTCTAGGGGTCAAAATGTACTTCAATGATAAGCGGGGTGGTTTGGCGTTTTTTTGGATTTCATATTAGAGTGTAAAATAACTCCGGGAATGGAACTATTTGAACAACAATATTTCACTGAGCAATATATCATATTGACGAGAATTGAAGAAGGACATGAGAAGGACTAAACTAACTTAAATTTCTCTCTACAGAACTCATGTACACCACAAGTACTCAATGAAATATGAACAGCCAATGTTCACAACCGACCTAGGTAATCTTTTTACAGGAATATCTTTAAAACATCTCTGTACATTTATATCTTTCAAGATGAAAAATGTCATCTTATGCACAATCTATCTTTATCTATGGATTCACACAACAATATCTTTGAAACCTCTATCTGTTCAATTATGTGGAAGATATTGTCTTTTTTTCTAGGTTTTTTAATTCTGTTAATTTCTCAATGTTTTTCTTACGCAATAGAATTGAGCAAGTAACTTTTGTAATAAACCATTTCTAAACATTATCAGTTTTTAAAATTATAATATTGATATCTAATTCAAACTTTATCAGACAAATATTTTAAGGGTTCTGTTGTGAATCAGGCATTGCCATCTTTGAATGAGAGGTCACTTGAAATGCTTACAGTCCAGTAAACTGTTCATATTTTTAATCTTTTAGCTTATTAAGGAAATTTTCTTCAACCCATATCAAGTAATAGTAATCTTAAAAGCTTTATTTGAATAAGGATGAATAAGATATTCATTATCTTATCTTTGAACATCGATTAATTTAAATTGCAGTTTTTTTGTACATTTCTTTTTTGGAAACAATTCTGAGATACGCTGTAATTCTAGGTTACAGTTTAGGAATGGAAATGATCCAGAATTTTTTTCCAATTTCATTATGAAAAAGGCTACTGAAATCCAGAATTCTGAAACGATCGCCAAACCAATTTTTTCCCATTAACTGGAAATTTCTGAATTGTTGTTTCGGAATTACAGATCGTTCCAGAATATTGTTCTGGAAAATTCCAATTTTCGGAAAAATTGGTCCAGAATTTTCCAGGGAAAGGTTCTATAAAACGTCATCTTAAACTTTTGTAAAAGATAAAACCAGTAAGTGATACTATCTACATAATAATAGAATGTGCGCCTGGTAAAGGCTGTAGTTAAAGAAAAACGACTGTGAATTATCATGAAATATAAATCCTGACTGCCATGTCTCAAATAATTTCATCTACAGAAAACTGTGGAAAGAAAGACGACATCTATATAGCATCCTTGAGTCTATTTGATGTTGTAAGAAAGCAAATAGGTTAAATTTTAACTTAAAAATCACTTTTAAATTGGTCTGTATACTGTATAGTATGTGCACAACGTAATTGCCGTTTCTCCTGTTCATTGAACTATTTGAAGTCATAAAAATTTAGACATTTTTACTGAAAGAGAACAGTACTATCAATAGCCTTCCGGACAAATTCGTCAAAAAAACATTTAAGACAGTGTACTATCTAAAAATCAAACTTACTAAATAAAGTTTGAGATATGGACTTAAACATTTATAATTTAACAGATGATGTCAAATTTACAAAAAATCATTAATCGGTCCTATGATACAGAATTCTCCTCCAGATTGTTTAACAAAATTACATTGATGGAAAATTTTAGAGCTGAAGCTCAAAATAACAGTCAACCATTTCTAAATCTTAATTATTCTTCTGAATATGAATGAATTTCTATTTTGCCACTTGGAATTAGATCCAAGGAGTCAAAATATTGAGTTACCGCATATTTTAGGTTTGTTTCTGGTGTTTGGAAAAAGTTAAATATTTTGAGTTTGTTGGTCAGTTTCCTTTATTTTTCCATCTGTTTCCACATATTTTTGGAACGTTTCCGGTTTTCAGAAAAAAATTTTAAATATTCAGTTTGTTGGTCAGTTTCCATTTTTTCAACCTGTTTCCACATATTGTTGGTCTGTTTCTTGCTTTTCAAATAAGTTTTAAATTTACAGTTTCAGCAAAATCTAAGGCGAAAATTTGGTTTAATTTCTTTATTTAAAAAAAAAACATGTTAGTTTTCAAAAAATCAATGAAGAAATATAAAAAATGTTGATAATTTAAAAATTAAGAACAAATTTTGTCAAAAAACAAATAAGAACAAAGTAAAGAATTGCTTTTCAAATCATATATGTATATAAATGTATATATGGTGGTAGGCGATTATAGAGATATAATGAAGACAGTGTTCTATTTCAAATTTGATTATTAGAGACACTTAAGAATATAATCTGGAGACCTTATAAGGTTAAATTAAGTTTTCTGCCTTAAATAAAGCCTTCCAGTTGCTTATGGTAAGGAAAGAAATAGTGTAAAAGAGCCAAATAAAATTACTTGTGTATTTAATAAGTTTTAGCTTTGCAACACAATGAATTCCAAATAATCTTATAATTCATCTGCTATCTATATACTAAAGAGTGAAACCTCCAACAAAACCTGGTCTTAACTAGACTTATTACTATACCTTAAAACAATTTAGAACTAGATTTTATTGATCAATAACACTTAAAACTTAGACTTACAAACTAAACATTAAATATATAAATACAAGTCCCCCGGGTTAAAGTACCAATAAGAAAGAATGATTGTAAGTAGGACCAAAAAACACTAAAGTGCAAAGAAGAAGAGAAGAAAGAATAAATGAAAACTTCAAACCTTAGATATGAGGAATCTCACACTCGGACTCAAGTGAAATTTCTCTCACACTACTGTTTAGATGCAGCCACTTTTACAAAACATTTCTCACTACTGACTGGACTAGGGGGGTCAGGAACCCTTTAAAAAGTTCTAGGGGGAGTAGGGGATAATTGACATTATTGCTTAGAATGAAATCTGGCATAATGATTTAAAGTTCACTCTGATTAGTGAAATCTAAAATCTAGGTACTTTTTAATTCACATCATGTCACAACAATTATTACAGTAATTCAGAAGTCAGGAGAGGGGTGTGATCAGCTAAATTTACAAATAATTGGTCAATTATTACTGGGCAGGTGATTAATCCTCAGATTCAACTATTTCTGGTTTTATCGGGGACGCATCATTCTACGTCTCTAGGTCATTGAAATCACTTTCATTCTCTGACAAATTCGTTTAATCTTTATCATCCTCATCTGGTTTCATCTTCATGATCTTTGCCTTCTGGTAAAATAGGATTTACACAGGTGCACAAAAATATAAACATTTAATGCTTGAATATGAGAGAAATATAGCCATGTAATTTCTAAAAGTTGCAGGATATGTTCCGTAAGGATTCTACAGAACTAGTTTGATCCAGAACTTATTGAAAACTCCACCATAAGCCAAAACCGGAAATGGACCAAAAATTTGTGGAAACCGATCTAAAAATAATTGAAAACCGACCAACAAACTGAAAATTCATAACTTTTTCCGAAAACTGGAAAAAGCCAAAAATAAGGGAATCTGACCTAAAAATTGAGGAAACCGATCAAAAAAAGTGGAAAATCCCTCAAAAAAAAAGTGTTGAGGGATTTCCAAATATTTTTGAAAAACAGGAAACACCTCAAAAAATTCTATTTTGGGGAAGTTTCCTTTTTTTGGTCCGTTTCTGCGTTGAGGCATTTCCATAGCACCGATTCAAAGAACTGTTAAAATTTAAATATAAACTTTAAAATTCTGTTCAGAATGGCAGTTTCTATGGTTGAAGGCTATTTGATCAATGAAACAAAGCCATGGTGTGCTCCATATGCAAGAAGTGAACCCAGTTTCACTGTACATGTCAGGAAACAACAAATGGCCAGGTAGTGAACTGTGAACTCTAACTTTTAATTGCATTCTACGTGGAAACTTATTTTCTTTAAGAAAAGTTAAACCCAGCCTGGCCTACCAAGAAGCTAGATTTATTGGATTCAATAATTCAAGTACCCAATCATTACAAATTGTCAAACAAAATTGTTAAAAGTGCATCCCCTTTGAACTTTGATTGAACTGGAAAAAGATTTGATGTCTGAATAATTTGAAGATTTTTAAAATTGAAGATTTAAATATTTTGGGTTTTAAAGATTTAAAGATTTAAAGATTTCGAGATTTGAGTATTAAAGATTTAAAGATTTAAAGATTTAAAGATTTAAAGATTTAAAGTTTTAAAGATTTAAAGATTTAAAGATTCAAAGATTTCGAGATTTGAGTATTGAAGATTTAAAAATTTAAAGATTTAAATTTAAAGATTTAATTTAGAGATTTAAGATTTAAAAATTTAAACGTTTAAAGATTTAAAGATTTAAAGATTTAAAGATTTAAAGATTCAAAGATTTAAAAATTTAAAGATTCAAAGATTTAAAGATTTAAAGATTTAATTTAGAGATTTACATTTTAAGATTTAAAGGTTTAAAGATTTAAAGATTTATAGATTTATAGATTTAAAGATTTAAAGATTTAAAGATTTAAAGATTTAAAGATTTAAAGATTTAAAGATTTAAAGATTTAAAGAATAAAAAATTTAAAGATTAAAAGATTAAAAGATTTAAAGATGAAAAGATTAAAAGATTAAAGGATTTAAAGATTTGAAGATTTAAAGATTTAAAGATTTAGAGATTTGAGATTTAAAGATTTAAGGTTTTAAAGATTTAAAGATTTAAAGATGATTTAAATATTTAAAGATTTAAATATTTAAAGATTTAAGATTTAAAGATTTTATAGAATTATTGATTAATAGATTTGAGAAAATTTCATAAATACTCCTAACTTGATTTTATTCAGAGCGGGTTATGATACCTTGACACTTCATAACAACAAAAAACTAAGTGTACTGAATAAGGGAATGGAGAAACATGAAAAGACGGAGACAAAAAACAAAATAGAAGATAAAAATTTGCTCTGATTTTATGATTTTTTCCTTGACATGTGATACATTTCTTGTGATATTATTGAAAATTCAGTCCAAAGTCTAGCTGTAATTTTTCAGATACACCTGTCTAAATATTGTGAATGTTAAAAAATAAAAGTATAATAAGAGTTTCGGTATGGTATTAAACTTAAACAGGAGGCAGAACAATTTATAAATATGTTACACTAATATGTCTGTAGAACAAAAATTATGGAGTAACCCTTCCTTTTCTTTAAGGAAATTGTTTATTTTGTTTACAGTGCTCTACAATAGTGATTTTTGGATTTATAAATTAGAGAAAAATAAAGATATAGGGAGAATATTATCTTCTTTTACAGAAGAATGACAATAAAGGGCTTTTACACAACCTCCGGGATTTCCTAAAGACCTTAAGATAAATTGACAAATATTGGGCTGAATTTCTTCTGGCCTGACCATAAGATTCTCTACTCTCATTCCTTCTCATAATCAATCAAAGACAGAAAAACTTCATGTTTTATTGTGGCACAGATCTTTAATCTTAAATAAATAAAACCTAATCAACTACAGAAAAGCTTTGAGAGATATAATTTTCATACTATTCATTCAACAAATAACTCAAAATATCATTTCAGGCGTTAAAAACTGCAGCATTAAGCTAGAAAACATAAGTATATAATCATACAAGAAACATTAAAGAATTTAGATATTTAAAGGAAATATTTACCACATTAGTCCTCTGATATTAGCACAACAATCAGCAAAACATGACACTAATAAAACTTTTACAATAATACTGGAAATACTGAAAGAACAATACATGAGTTTCTTGTGCATGCGTAGGTAGAATAATTTGTCGGCAAAAACAGGTTTCATCTCCAATCTCTTCATCTTGAAAACAAGGGTGAATACTGGAAGAACCAGGTGCATTATAGACTCCATAACAAAGCGTGAGCTTGTGTAACACTCGCCCACCAGCAAGAAAAGAAAAGAGTTCTAATTAAACCCTGCGACCAGATCACTTCTGAGCTCTAAGATCTACCTGAAAACAATAGTTCACCTTTATCACCAATATTATCACTTCTTACAAATTTACTGAAATTTTTTATTAAAGCAAAAATTTTTTATTTTTAATCTTATTTTTTTCGCTTATTTTCATGCTAAAACTTGTTTAACCATTCAGAAATTAGGAAATTTTTATATTCTCTCTTTTTTCAATAGTTCAGATTTGGGTTGAGATTAAATTTTTTTTTGCAGTTTTTAGTTGATATTTTGCCCCTTGGTACGGATCCGTGGATCCGCATATTTTTCCGGATCCGGATCCAGGAAGCCAAAATCTTGTGGATCCAACGGATCCTAAGCCCTGGTTTTTGGAATATGTTCTTTTAAGTTTAAAAAACGACGTTAACTTCCACATTTTTGATAAATGTTTTGAGGGTACCTTAGTTAATCATACATACTCCTCTCTAACAATGACATCTAGGCATCAATAGCTTAAAAAAAGTATTCTCCTGGAAATTTTCTTCTGAAATCAAACGTTCCATTTATTTTCCAGAGCAGAGTGAGCAGCAGTAACTGATACAGAGAAAACTAACAAGAGCACTGAATATTTATTGAGTGTCTGGTGAAGAAAGAGGACAAAAGGTTAGTTCATGTTTGCCTAAACAGTACATTATTTTTGAGTACATATTCCGCTTTATACGGTGGTATAGGCGATATACCAATAAAATGAAGACTACTTTCGATTTCTGTTTTGATTTATATCAAGCTTCTAAACAGCATGGATATACACTTAACATGAAAAGGAAGATAAACTTTGAAAAGCTTCTTTTTAATTACTTGTAAATTTGTTAACAATTAAAACTTGATAAAAAAGTTGTCTTCATTATATTGATAAAATTGCTTACCACTGTAGTAGAAAGATTGAGATCATGGCTGTCTTTTTAGTAATATATTAGGCAAGTACAGTTTTAAACTACAATGGGTGAGTATATGTTAGTATTACCAGTAAACATATTGCTATTATAGTACAGTAGGTGAGTATATGTTCATCTTTGCAGTACAAAGGTTGAGTACAAGTTTGTCTAAATATAGTAAAACAGGCAAGTTCATGTTGTCTAAACTCTAAATAGTATAACAACAGATAAGACATGTTTGTCTAAATAGTAGAACAGGTAAGAACATTTTTGTCTGAACTTTAAATGTAAGTACAACAGATAAGTATATGTTTGATGTGTATCTTAATACAGTGGTAGGCGATAATATCAATATAATGAAGACGACTTTCAAATTGAATTTTGATTTATATTATGCTTTTGAACAGCATGGACACACAAAAATATGGAAACAAAGAGAAGTTGCACTTCAGAAAGCTTTTCTTTAATTACTTGTAAACTTGTAATTCGAAAAAAACTTGTTTACAATTAAAACTCAAATAAAAAAGTCGTCTTCATTATATTGATATTTCTGCTTACCACTGTAATACAACAGTAAAGTCCATGTTTGTCTTAATGTAAAATGTTAGTAAATATCCCTTCTAATAGTACAATAGGCTTTATAATGCTTTACTTTCTTATCCATTCCTTCTTTTCATGTCTTACTTCTTTTCAACCTTATTCATTGATATTTTTTTCAGTTGGAACCGGCCGGGATACAGAATTCAAAGAATAGCTTAGGATTTGACCTACTTGGTTTATGAGACTGCAGCTATTGCAGTTAGAACTGGGAACTCAATACAGTGAGCTGAGCATACATACACTACATACGAATAAGAATTACCAACAATTTCAAATTCTTCCAGATCTGAAAAAACTCTTCAGAAGCAAGATTCTGTAAAATTAAGAAATCAAGTGAAAAAAATAATTAAGTTTTTTTGTGTTAAATATTTATATTTTTTCATTTAAAGTTATTTTAATATAAATCCAGTCGAGTTGATCATCCTTTATTTTCAATTTTTTTCTTCAAGATTCTGAATTGCAATGATGTAATATTTCATTCAGTGCACCGTAATATATACAGGGTTACCCACAAAGAATGAGACTTCAGAGATGACTTTACATATTTTATAGGCTATTTTAGTTCTATTCATGTTTTTCTACAACTGTAAATAACTTTAATTTTCCTTTAGCAAAAAAGTTGGACTATTTTAAGCCAGTAAACCAAAGTTAACATTGAAAGTAAAACATTTTTAGAGTTTTAGTAACCTTTGCAGTCTCATTTTTTGTGGGTAACCCTGTATATGCTCTGAAAGAGGTGTAGTAACGGAGTTCTGAAAGTGGATTAGTAACAGAGCTCCAAAAAAGGAGTAGTAACGGAGCTCTAAGAGAGGAGGAGCAACGGAGCTTCAAGAGAGGAGTAGTAACGGAGCTCCAAGAGAGGAGGAGCAACGGAGCTCCAAGAGAGGAGGAGCAACGGAACTCTAAGAGAGGAGTAGTAACGGAGCTCTAAAAGCCGAGTAGAAAAGGTGCACCGTAAATCACTCCGTTCGGTGCACCTCAATCGCATCTGCTCAGGATACCGCCGAACCTCCGTTCTTTGAGAATCGGAGTTCCGTTTTCGAACTCCGCAACATGATTAACGGTGCACCTTTTCTCCTCCCTTCTTTGTATTTTTTCTTGCTGGGAAGCGCGCTCCTCAATTGGTAATCTCCACCACCTCAGTTATTGAAGAGAAGATTAAAAACGATCATCTGGATTTGTTTCTCAATTATAAATTTGTTGACACAAATAAAAGAACAAAAGGGATATTCGGTAACTTTATTGAATAATAGCATGAAAACGCGGTCAACTTTGCTACACAGTAGTAATCGTCTTCGTGTTTTCTTGAATTTGTTAACAAAATTGTGTTCCAACAGAAGATCAGCTTGCACAACTTAATGGAGAACACCTTCAGAAGATTGTAATGAAGATTGAACGTGGACTAAACAAGTTAGATCTATATCAGAGAGTTATAGAAGATTATTTTGAGAATAATGATAACAATCTTTCTGATGCTCAGACACATAGTTTGGATCTTTTTATGACTTCAATGCAATCCACTAATCTGGAGATGATGGCTGTCCAGGGCAAAATCAAGAAGATTCAAAGATGACAGAGAGCTAATACACCCGGCCCCCATGATATTATGATGAGTAGCGAGAGTAGAGGTTCAGGCCCGACAAAATACAGCATGGTAGTTGTCTATTTTATCTTAAGGTCTTTAGGAAATCCCCTCGAGGTTGCGTAACATATTTTCATGTTCATTTGAACCATTTTTAAGTTCCATTTGAACTATTTTTATGTTCCTTGAATTATTTTATATTTAAACTATTTTTATGTTCATTTGAAACATTTCTTCTGTGTATGTTATCTAATTAAGTAATTGTATGGTCCCATAACTTAAAAAAATTAAAAACTGAAATTTAGAGAAATAGTTCAAATGAGCAAGTTTAATATGTGTTGATTTGAACTACAGGATATACCATGTCAGTAGAATTCAAATGAACAATAGTTCAAACGAACAATAGTTCAAACGGGAGTAGTTCAAATGAGAATCCACCAGAATGATACAGGGTGCCCAGCTGGAAAATTTCTCTCAATCGGAATTCCGATTTCTGACTTGAGGAATTCTGGCGTAGGAATGAAATCACTCCGATTTTCCATTCCGATCTGCTCCGATCGTACATGAAGCGGAGATCGATAGCGTAAACAGGTCGGATGAACCGATCGGTTTACTGATCAGTCTAATGATCGGTCTAACGATCGGTAGTTTTCAGTTGGAACCGGCCGGGATACAGAATTCAAAGAATAACTTAGGATTTGAGCTACTTGGTTTATGAGACTGCAGCTATTGCAGTTAGAACTGGGAACT